GGAGCTACGTGGCTCGCTGCTCTTTCACCCCTCCCCTGCCCTCGCCGAGGAGCCTGTGACACACCGGCATCGTGCCCGGGACAATGCAACTAGACCCCTGCCCCTGCCCTCGCAGGGAGAAAGGCCCAGAGGGCAGTGTGGACAGCATGGTGGCACAGAGGAAACATGGCTCTCCCAGCCAGGGCCACACTGCATGGCTAAGGGTAGCTGACTTGAATGTGCACATACAAGTTAGATGGAATTTTTCGGGTTGCTCCGGGTGGGTCAGAGGGCAGGGATGGGCACGACAAGGACAAGCTGTCCTACAGTCTTTTTTAGGTAACTAGTTAGCTGTGTAGAAATGAGAGACAATGAGCTGCGTGAAACATATTCTCTTCCATTGCAAACCACAGCAAGACAAATGAAGACGAAAACCACTCAGGTTTCGAGGGAGAAGCTCATTCAGGGACCAGTGTGCACCAGCCCACGGGACACCTCACTGAAGACCGGGTAAGGGAAGGTTCGGTTCTGAGGTGAGACAGGTGAGCTTACATACCTTGCTGGAAATCAACCCTCCTCCTCAGGTAATCGAGGTACGCCTGCCAGATCTCCACGTAGTCCGTAGCCTGGATAAAGCCTGCACTCAGAGCTTTCTCGAAGGTTTCTAGAGGGAGAGAAAGGCGGGATTTGTGGCCAGCAGACCAAGAAGCCAGTACGCCGCTTCCCTGGCTCTGATAAAAACCTCCACCAGCTATAATAGAGAATACCTGCGTGCAGTGCACCGAGTGAACAGCCCCACGAGATATCAACACTGCCCACACTGAGAAGCACTCTCAACACAAGTTCGTCCTAGGGTCTGAGTCATTTGGAGAACCCCATAATTACTATATTAAGACATCAACATCCCAACCCAACTTATCCCCAACTGACAGCCCGTTTTTCACTAATACCCAATATCCCAGAGACACACTCAGGGCAAACTGGATGACTGAGTTTGACTGCGGCGCTATGCTTCCAACTAGGAGCACACGACTTAAAAGAGTTTTCCCTGGGAAACAGCCTCACCGGCAATCGTGAGATGGTCAACTTCGTATCTCTCCATGGCCAGCAGGTACCGACTCCACAGGGCAACCGTCCAGGGGCAGTTTCTCACAGCGCGACTGTGTACGGATAAAACCAAGTCCTTGACTTTCAGCTGCCGGTCCTGGGAGCGAGAATGCCAGGGTCAGCAGGGACTCAGTGGAGTGTTAGAGGCGCCACAATGAGACCGGCTTCAGGTACAATTGATCGACAGTAAGAAAAGCTCTCGTGAGACCATTTCTGCAACAAATCGTCTGAGGAGGAAGAGGTGGGCAGCGGAGCCTACAGATCACAGCAGCCTAAAGAGCTGATATAAGGGCCTTGTGTGGCTATTTCCGATGCAAGGCGAGTCCTGGGCTTGCTTCAAGCTAATACAGAGGTGGGGGGAGTGGCAAGGGACATAGTTGAGAAGACAATAAAATCAAACTAGCCAAGAGTTAAAAGCTGAAGCTGGGTAAGAGGAGGGCTACTTTAACGACGCTACTTATTTTGACTTTCCCCA